ATTTGGAGTACCACATTTACTTTAGACACTATTTTATTACAGTAATAGTACTTTTATATGAGCGAGTATTTGGGCTACTGCTTAGCATTAAGGATAATCATACAGTCTGCATACGGGCGCTGCATGAGCTCGGGAGTTTGTTAGTCCACGGCTGGCCAAAGCAGACTACAACAGAGAAGACCCACTGCTTAATGACTTCACTCTGACTACAGGCGCTAGCCGGGTCACTGGTCACTGACCAATTTTACCCCATATGTTCTCATGCCAGAGATGTGTGCCAGCACTGGAAGCTGTACCTCTGTATGTGTTGAACAGGTGGTGTGTGAATGAGAGACTGCCCTCTGCTGGACAGACCTGAGTTCTTTGAATAAACGCTAATAATAGAATTGATGAAATATGGCGTCTATATTGAATTTGGGGAATATAATCAGTGTGGTTGTAAGGACAGATGGAACTTATTAGTGATTATTGTTCTATGTTAATTCAATGTGGATAAGTATGTAGAATGTTGAACACAGACCTGCACCTGTTTATATGCCATATTAATGAAATTAAATGTCCTTGTGCAGGTGGAACAGGCATACTGAGTATATATTTAGGTACAGATCTGACTCGTTTAGTTTTTGTGTAGTTCTGTCTTCATTTGTTATCACTATGACCTTATTTACTCAAGCACAAGTTGGAGGAGTGGCCTCCTAAGCTTGCTTTCTATGATTGTGTGTGTGTGTGCGTGGGTGTGTGTGTATGTCTGTGTGTCTGTGTGTGTGCGTCTGTGATACAGTGGGAGGAGTGTGCACCTGTTAGTTAAGCTGCACCTGGTTGTCAGAGCGAAAAGTGTACGTACATGACGTCTGACAGACTAAGAGAGAGAGAGGGAGAGGAAGGTGAGAAAAAAAAAGTTTCAGGTCAACAACACAGGGCAATGATCTCAGTCAGTGGATCGGACTGTAAACAGCATCGAGAGGACTAAACTAAAGGCCAGTAACCTCTGGAGGGAAGACTACAGCCTCTGTGACGCACTTTTCACTCGCACAGGTGAGAGAAACTTTCAAGCACTTGCAAGCATCCATCACCGAAACCCATTCAGCCCAAGATTATTATTCACTCCACTGTCCTTTTGTGTGTGTGCTAATTATAATATTATTTCAGTTATAGGCCTGGTTCAAATAAATAATAGATCTGATACTACATTTCCTTGATATGTAAGATAGGCCTACAGTATAATGCTGACATAAGAGTTGCTTCTCGGACAACCTTTGGTCAAAGAGACACCTTGATCACACATTAACCTCCCAGAGTATGTCTTTAACTTTAACGAACCAGTGTAGAACATTGGGAAACATCACTCACGAAAGTCCCACATGTCCTGAAACAGTGACCAAGCAGTTTTCAAAGTGAATTACAATGACGTCATCCAAATAGAATTAATGAATGAATAATGGAAACAGATCTACGTCTGACAGACCAAATGTTATGGCAGTTGAGACCTGTCCACACCATGCCTGGTGGTTTTGGATGGGAAACGAAAACCAAAGCTAGATAGGTTTTTTTTTTTTAAATATACATTATTTGTAAAAGTTCTGCTTAATCGTACCATAAGGATAATTCTAGCTTCGAACAAAAATACAAAAATTCACATTTGTTCTCTGATTCTTTGCAGAAACAAATTAAATAAAATCCTGCTTTAGGCCCGAGTTTCATTCCCATCCAAAACCCTAGCCAATGATTCATATTCAAATAAGAGGTAAATCTTCCCTGTGCCATTATGCTGGTCAACAAGCCTGCTTTTGATCTCCTCTAAACTCTGGCTTTTCACTGCAGTCCTGAGCAATCTCTTTCTCCTGCCCCACATTTAGTAAATATTTACAGTACGAATATTTCTCCAGAGATAAGAATTGAACAGAAGAAAGCCTACATGTTTATAGACTTGTGCAAAAGGGTACCTTTTTCAACACTTTAACCTCTTTATTGAACCCAGATTTAGATTAGCTCTTCTTGTCGATGATTTATAAATCTAATAATGTCTTTCCAGCTAACGTGAAGCCAGCTCTCAATTCATTTTAAACCCGAACCTCTAGCAAAAGGAAGGATTATGCTATTCCATATAGAAACTCTTTATCATCTAGCAGGCACTCTTTTTTAAGTATATATTACCAAAGAAGGTTTTTATGATAGCCGATACATTAGTAATACAGAGAGGGCATTGTACAGTAGTTACACGTTATTGTTGAAAGGCTGTAAAGTTTATAGAGTAGTGCAAGATGGCTGTGCACCCTGAGCAGCCCTGTTTCTATTGGATTTGCATGATTAGCTAGATCAGAAAGAACGATTAGAAGGTATAATGCCATCGAAACTGGAGCACGGAAGCAATCGTCTCTTATCGTAATCTTTTATCAGAACAATTGAATGAAATTGCAATTTCCCCATGTTTCACGGTCACATTCCTAATTCTTAATCTGAATTAAGCAACAGTAATCTTTACACCTGTCCATGCAACGCCAATGTTACAATGTTACGGACACCAAGAACTCACTTTTTACTTTTGTCTTGCTCATATTGTACCAAAGCAACTGAACTGCTGATCTAGCAAGGCTTTATGCCTGCATTAATTTAGTATTAAAGGCCCCATTTGATTCAAGGTCAGCAGTTTTTTTTCTTATGAGAGAACATACCCTCGGGATCTGATTGGAAACAAGTCAGGTGTAGTGTGTTTGTGTGTGTGTGTGTTGGGGGTTCTGCATATATGGTATACTGAATCTGCATATACGCTAAATCTTGATGTTGTATAGGCCTTTGCTCTCTTTATTTCACAAGCCAAAACATGAGAAAGCAACTGAAAGGAAAACTCAGACATGAACAGAGGTTTGTTAGAAATGTTATTTTTAGTAATGTAAATATCATCGGTCTAAATAATCAATAAGACTGGCAGGATGTGTGAAATTTCACTTGAGATCTCACAGTATCTACAATAAAGCCTATTTTTATATATTCCTATTGATCACATTATCTTGACCAAAACTAATATGTTATTTATTATGTGTGATCTTCGAAACTGTATCAGGATACAGCGTCTATCAATATTGAATATGCTATAGTTGTGGCACGACATAGTGTTCTCAATGTCCTCTCATTATAATGCCATACACATATTCACAAAATGTCAATTTGATATATAAACACCCAGAAATATATATTTCATTATTGATATCAGCAATGTCCAACAGAAGTTCTGCAGTCTTAATAAACTGGGCCATGGTGGACGGTCCCAAATAAATCATTTGAGAGCTAGAATAATTATCTAAAGGAAAATGAAGAATTTGGGGATATTTGGACTAGACCAGTCATGCTAATGTAAGAAACAAAACAAAGCAAAACATTTCAATAACTAAAAACTTGATCATGAAAATGTATGGAAATTTAAGTGAAATATGAATGATGCAATCTTGTGAAATGGACAATAAACTGATAATAAACCAGTTCTAACTTGCCAGATAACCAAGATTCACAGACACATCGTCTGGGTAAACAAATTCACATGCACACGCTGACCTTCATTTCCCCTCTGAAAACAATCTCAGTAGAAATTCTGGTGAATTCGATGAGATAATATAAACAGACTGCATGAGAAAACCTTGGCTTTTATGTTCATGAAAGCTAATATAACTTGCTCCTGGTTTGAAAGAGCTCCACCTTTGGTTTCTGTCTGTTTCCAAACATGAAAGGCCAAAAGTCCAAGCCTCCAGAGAGACCATGGATATTAGCATACAGTTTGGAAATCACCACTCTGTTGCTGCGCAACCAGCCATATGAAGTCCACTCCTTTTTTTTGAATAGACACAGGTACAATGCTGCAGCTTTATCTCTGTGTATGTGTGCGATAGTCTGTTTGCTTTTTTTTTCTTTCTGCTTTTATTATAGTCCTAACAAACTCCCCAGCAACAGGCTCTCTCCGCTGGTAACATGATTAACCACTGACCCAGCCTGGCCCATGCTCTGTGAAACCTATTCACATAACAAGCAGGCAGAAGAAACCACTACAAAGGGCAGGATGAGTCATTGTATAGACCACACATACACCCAACTATTCAGCAATATTCAGTAACCCATCGGGTACTGATTCACTTTCTGTCTGTTTATCATTTTCCCATCTTTGCTACAGATACAGATACAGATACAGATAATGATCAGGATGTCTCTATTTATATTATTTAATATAGTTTGTGCGCAGACGTGGCAGAAATTAGTATACAAACAGTATATTGAAAACTACAGCACTACCCTAGGGTTAAAAGCCTAGGCTACAGTATTACAGGTTACAGTACAGGCCACCAAACACATATACTACCAACAACTACGCTCCTTCAAGCTACTTAGCATTCTGCTAGCATGTAGCCCAGTTTTACCATGTAGCTATGACATTTAAGTCTTGTAACTGGAGATCTCCAGATAGCATAGCTCTGCCATATGGCACCGTCTGAATTGCAATGAAAAATTCAACAGCACCATCATCCACATCAGCTTCAGCCTCTGAGATCTCAGCTTACACATGACAGCTTTGCACACCACCACAGTGTCCTTATAGCTAACGTCCATAAACAGTAGCTGGTTTTGGCTTGGGAATCAGAAAGGCATCTGAGTCAGTGAGTCATTCACTTGAGAACAAAATTGCCAGTGGAAGTATGAAGCAAGATTAGAGTCATTATAATGGCCCTGTCTATTCACTGAGGTCAAGGAGGAGCCTAGAGCATATCCCAGGGGACTCGGGGCACAAGGTGGGCGACAACCTGGATGGGGTACCAACCCATCGCAGGGCACAGTGGTACACACACACACACACACACACACACACACATTCACACACTATAGACAGTTTAGAGATGAAAATTAGAATAAAATGCAGGTCTTTGGAATGGGGATGAAATCCAGAGTACCCGGGGGAAGCCCTCGAAATGAAGGACATGCAAACTCCGCACACACTGGGCGCACGCTAGGCATACACTGGGCACAGGTGGGATTCAAACCCCCAATCCTGGAGGTGCGAGGCACACATGCTAACCCCTAAGCCACCATGTCCCCAAACTTCATAATATAATATCATGTAACATAACATCAACGATGTTCTCCAGGAGAAAAGAAGGCTGGATTTCTTGTAGAGATGTAGATTCTTCCCTGCTTTCCCTGTAGCTCTAACAACATTTATTTTGGTACCACTACATCATCCATCCATATTCTGTACAGCTTTCCTACATGGGGTCGTGGGGAAGCCTAAAGCCTATCAAAGGGAACTCGGAGTACAAGGGACACCCTGGACAGGTGCTAACCCATCACAGGGCACAAATCCACACAAATTTACACAATATGGGTAATTTGGAAATGCCAATCAGCCTACAACACATGTTTTTGGACTGGGGAGTAAATTGGTGAACTTAGAGGAAACCCCCAAATCACGGGTTAGAGCATGTAGGCTCTACGCACACATCCTGGAGGCAGGATTCGAGCCCCCAACCCTGGAGGGGTGAGGCAAACGTGCTAACCACTAAGGCTCCATGCCCCCCACCACCACAATTTATTATTCAAAATAGTCAAATTATTATCTTTAAAGCAAGTTTTGCAAAACCTTCTAACCACTCCTTTCAACTACAGATTCTTTCTAGTCACACAACTGTTTCCTCAATTCATCGACTAAAAAGTCTGACGTTCTCTCTCTCTGTCTCTTTCTCTGTCTGTCTATTCCTCCACTTTCTCTTCTTCTTCACAGGGCTCATCTCTCCTTGGCCATGGCTACGGCTGAGCCAGCCCCTGCCTGGTGGAAGCTGACCTTCCTCCGCAAGAAGAAATCCGAGGCCAAGGAATTGTATGAGGTACCTGCAGAGTACAGTAATAATGCAGAGACAGCACCCGGGACGAGCAGTACAACCGGGACGCCTGACGACAGCCAGTTCAATGCTCGCCTTGAACGCATTGTGGACAAAACAGCCACAAAAGGACGACACGTTAAAGTCTCCAACTCAGGTCGCTTCAAGGAGAAAAAGCGCATTCGGTCAACATTAGCTGAAAACCCGGAATTGTTCCCCAACCAAGACACTTGCAATGGGAACCAGAGCACAGGGAACTGAAGGCTGGGATGTCAATCTGTACACCTTGAATTTATTCAGATACATATGCAAATAAATTCTAAACAGTTTTTGAATGCTGGATTCATTTAGGCATCAACTAAATCAAGCAAAAATATTTTACTGTGTTTTAGTAGGGTTCTGCTTCAGTAGTCTTGATTGCATTTGTCCAGAGTGGATAAAATATAATTTCTCTGTATAGTCCAATAGAATTGGTACTGTTTTTTTGTTTTTTTTAATTATCAAAACATCACATTGAAAACACGTCAGATGGTGCTATGGTCCTCATAGTTAATTCTGTTCAGTTGTATTTGGATCTTCAGCTGTTCCACCTAAGAAAGTTTGCTACTTTCTGACAAAATGGTTTCTAGGGTATATCATGCATCATGTGCATTTGGTTTTATTGTTGAAAGCAATATGTTTGAATTTTGTAGTCTTGTTGATTGTTGGATGGTTTCTGGGGTTTTTTTCCATTGGTGTTTTGGTGTTCAGGCAGTACTAGCCCGCAGCTGGAAATAAACTGCTATCAGTTTACTGTAGATCAGTTTATAATAATCCAGTTAATTCTCACATTTCTGACTGAATTTTGGACCTCTAGTCCAAATAATACAAATAATAATAATAATACAGAGTGAAGTATTTGCAGTTTAATCAGCGTGCACAATCATGCAAAGAGGAATAAGCAGTTTGCATGGTGTAATTATCTCACTTCCATTTATTTCAGATAACACATAAGGTGTGTTTGGTTATGTTTTTTTTTTTTTGTTTTTTGTTTTTAAATATTGTCTTTTTTAAAAACATTTTTTTTAAAGTCCAAGTGTAATAACCTCAGTGCCTTATGATCAGAGTTACATTTCTTCCTTCCCTGTACATCACCTGTCACTTTGCTGAATATCTTTCTGTGTTTTAAACTGTATTTGTTTACTGAAATTCCCTATGAATATACTATTGAATTCCTCATGTTTTAATGAATCTGTAAAAAATGTTTTTACAGCAAACTAAGATTTTATTTGATTTTAGCATAATACTATTTAAAATACTATCCAAAGAAAAATGTTTTAATATAATAATATAATATTTAATAATAAAAAACATTTTCCAATATTTTCTGTTCCTTTGTAATCTCTCTCTCTCTCTCTCTCTCTCTCTCTGTGTGTGTGTGTGAGAGAGAGAGAGAGAGAGAGAGAGAGAGAGAGAGAGAGAGAGAGAGAGAGAGAGAGAGAGAGAGAGAGAGAGAGAGAGAGTGAGAGATAAATGTCCTCACAGCACAATACATATTTGATTTTTTTTTAAACAAACAAACAAAAATAATGAGCACAGACATTGAGGTCATTATTAAGAATTTAGTCAGACTTAAGCCTGGGACATTGTCTGACATTTTATGAGATTTTATTTATTATTATTATTATTATGGAACTAAATTTGAGTGTGGAAAAATTCCTATTTTTACAACACGGGTGTGAAGAATTGGTTGTATTTGTGTATGTAAATAATTTGAAGTACATTTGAATGCACTACATTCAGTGTAATATATATATATATATATATATATATATATATATATATATATATATATATATATATATATATATAAATTTTTGGAATATATATATATATATATATATATATATATATATATATATATATATATATATAAATTTGAATATATATATATATATATATATATATATATATATATATATATATATATATATATATATATATATATATATATATATATATACACACACATTTGCTAAAGTGAGTGAGAATGCATGCGTCTTTTCATGTACTAAATATGATAGGGTATTTATTTTACCCAGTAACCCATATTTAAATTGCATTCGTAAACGAAAATATAAATAGAAGGTAGAGTCATAGCTGTAGTGACACGGTCTGACCACAAGGGGGTAGGATTGTATAGTAATTACTACCCAGCACCTCTCAACATGTCTATGCTCTCAACTGCCAGATCAGTGAGAAAGGGCAGAGGTTGCATATTGCGAAAATGCTGTAGGTTGAGTTGTGGTGTATATACTCAGTCATGGGTTTTTTGTTGTTGTATTGTTTTGATAAGAACCCCGTTCTGAACACCCACAACCCTGCACAAAAAAGTATTTACAAGAATCATTTCAACGTTCAGCATTTCAGCATTGTTTAACTTTTGTCATTTCTTTCAATCATAACAGTTGAAGAATGGAAAAAGACCATATGACGTTTTTCCAATCTTTAACTGTATAGTTTCAATGAGCCTTTGCCCAATGTAACTTCAACTTCCTGTTCCTGATTGACGGGGGTATATACAGTATCTCACAAAAGTGAGCACACCCCTCACATCTTTGTAAATATTTGATTATATCTTTTCATGTGACAACACTGAAAAATGAAACTTTGCTACAATGTAAAGTAGTGAGTGTACAGTTTGTGTAACAGTCTAAATATGCTGTCCCCTCAAAGCCATTAATGTCTAAACCGCTGGCAACAAAAGTGAGTACACCCCTAAGTGAAAATGTCCAAATTGGGCCCAAAGTGTCAATATTTTGTGTGGCCACCATTATTTTCCAGCGCTGCCTTAACCCTCATGGGTATGGAGTTCACCAGAGCTTCACAGGTTGCCACTGGAGTCCTCTTCCACTCCTCCATGAGGACATCACAGAGCTGGTGGATGTTAGAAACCTTGTGCTCCTCCACCTTCCATTTGAGGATGCCCCACATCTGTGTGTCATATAGCAAGGCAGTGATTGTCTTGGAGGTGTGTTTTGGGTCGTTATCATGCTGAAATACTGCATACTGATCATGCTCTGCTTCAGAAGGTCAGAATACATGTTGGCATTCATGGTTCCCTCAATGAACTGTAGCTCTCCAGTGCCAGCAGCACTCATGCAGCCCCAGACCATGACACTCCCACCACCATGCTTGACTGTAGGCAAGACACACTTGTCTTTGTAATCCTCACCGGGTTGCCACCACACAGGCTTGACACCGTCTGAACCAAATAAGTTTATCTTGGTCTCATCAGACCACAGGACATGGTTCCAGTAATCAATGTCCTTAGTCTGCTTGTCTTCAGCAAACTGTTTGCGGGCTTTCTTGTGTATCATCTTTAGAAGAGATGTGCATCTTGTGCATCATCTTCCATCGCATGCTACGCTCCTAAACACTTCACCTAGAAAATGTGCACTATTCCCCGTGAAGAAACGGGAGCAAGCCGTAACACACTTCCTGAATTCTCTCACTCATATATTTCTCTCTCGGTTAATTAAAGGGCCAGTACACCATTTCAATATTTAAATGAAGATAAGTTGACAAAAAAAAGTTATATATTGCACAGAAAAAAATATTTGCAGAGTACTATATTTCATATGCAGTTAATGTTAATATGAGTTAATATATGTATATATAAAAAGGTTTATATTAGGCCAATATATTACCAGTGTGTGTGTGTATATATATATACATATATATATATATATATATATATATATATATATATATATATATATATATATATATATATATATATACTAATATATATTATATTATATATATAATTTGTTTATTTCGTTATTTATTTAAACAAAACCTTGAACCATTTCACGAACCAAAATTCGCTGTTTAATTTGAACTACACATTCTTCACTATGAACACATTCAGAAGCTAATAAAATCTGTCTAAAGCAATTAGATGTCTGGTCTAATTTTAATATAAGTTTTCTATAAGTAATGGGTTTTTTTCAGGCTCGGTAAGTAAATTAAAAAGTTAAAGTATATCGTGAGTGTCAAGATTTTTGTCGAGATTGTGAGATTAATCTACATGCTCAAACCTCTGATTTTTAAATTCAGGGGGAAAAACTTGGATCAGGAGAGCTCACTTCTGTATTATGAAGAAAGGATGAGTCAACAATTACCAGACTTCGTGTAGGACACACAGGGCTGAATGCCAATTTTCATCAAATCAAT